TGGCTAGAGGGGGGAATACAGGGGAGCTGTTGTTTAAATAAGGACAACAACAGCGCAGAAGCAGCTCAGTGCATGTTTTCAAAGCTCTCTGAACAGCCATAATACAGCGTTGCATTTTATGCGACTTGTAGTGAGATGCTCTTTGGCATCTGCTGTTATGCAATAAGGTTTCTTTTACATAATCTATGAAGTCATAACTGCAGAAAGTTCTGAAGAATCAATGGCTCAGGTTTTATTGGCAGATTCCTGAAATCAAATAAAGAGCGCTCTTGTGTTCTAGGTTTAACTGCTTTGTGTCCTTCATTGAGAGTTAGTAGAGACAGCTGTGCTAAACCAGGTGCCCATGTGCTACTATTAAACTTGTTCTTTTGGACCAAGTTATTGTTTATCCGGGTGTTAATAAAGCAGTCAGCGAAGCACATGGGAGCAGACAAAGTAGGAAGAAAAAAATCACTAGAATTACGCTCCGTGGATAACCCCTTTCTGACAAAATGACTTGTCCTCAGAATATCCCCAAAACTCCAACTTCAAGGCCAACTGGTTGTTGGAAAACTATTGCATTTTATCAGTAACCAAAGTGTGTGCATGATAGACGCTTATATATATGGCACCTGTGCCATATCTTGGATCTCTAAATCAAGCTTTCTTATGTTTAAAGGTGTAAGTCTTCATTACCTAAGGATTGCCTTCAGAAGTTTTAAGCGTCTGCAGAGTTAAAAATCTCACTTACAGTTGCAAGATCCAGAGTGCTTTACTTCTAGAAGCACACCCATGGAGCAGGCTGCTTCTTTCATGGCGCACTCACTTGGGTAAGTTGTGTTATCGCTGGCACAGACCGCCTCGTCTGACTTGCTTTCAGGGCATAGCTCATCGCAGAGGGCACACCGACCTCTGCCAACCTTAAAATCCCACAGGCATTTCTTCCCAGCACTGCATTGAATGTCTTCACAGGATTTGGCTTCTAAAAATACACACAGGATACTAGAGGTAAGTGAAAAGACAAAAGAAAAGGAAAGCAACAACAAAAAAACGCCAAACTCCTTTTCCCCTGTGAACTGTGAATAGGCAAAGCTCAGATGCAGTAGATGTGATGATACTTGCTGGTTTTGCTCAAGCAAGTAGCCCCTTGGAAACCATTGCCTGTCTATATGTGGGAGAGGAAAGACAGCTGTGCCAGGGCTTGGCCCAGGGACTACAGAATTACAGTTGCCTGTTCTATGTGACCTTCCTGCTCCTTTTGATGTCAGTGGAAATTCAGCTCCCCAAATTAGCAGTAAGCACAGAATTTGCCAACACATCCAGCATTTCGAAATCAATTATTTTTAAACTAACACACACAGAGTAGTTGTCTACAAGATTGGAAAGGGAATTCACCTCAGCCTATACCAGCTAAAAGCAGCCTGAGACTCCTCCGAATTCTCTCAGTAGTTTTGGGGAGCAGAGGCTGCCCTGAATGCACTTCCTCATAACATACTTCACTATCATTCCTTTCTGGAAGTCAGAATGTCAGGATGCATGGAGATTATTTTTCTATCTTCACCCACCAGCTGTCTCCAAACTCTACAATATTTCTAAAGAGAAAAAAGTGATCAGATGTTTCCAATTAAGTTAACACAAGCTTTGCCAAGACCACTTGAAGACAATTGTTTCCAGGAATCCAGATCCACTGAATGTAGAGACCTTGTTACACTGTAACCATGTCATCATCTATTTAATGGTGGGTACTTTTCCCTTGGATACTGATGTCAGCACCCATGGCCATAGCAAGAGAAGCAGAATCAGGCTCTCTGCTCCCTCATCCCTTTGCAATCTCTTCAGGGGCAAAGCTCACCCTGGGTCTCCTTTTTGTGAAGGGGAACACTAACCCAGGCTGCTGGAAGTCTTTCCTCCTCCCCAGCACTATGTCCACCCAATTGCACATACAATACTCTGAAACAGCTAAGACAGGAAGCCCCCACCTCCAGCCCTATCCCTCCCACCAAGATACCTACTGATGCATTTTCCTTCATAGGCTAATCCAATGGATCTGCCCAATAGGCAGGTAGCTTTCCTCAGGTGGCAGGCGCTGGCGTAAGTTATGCCATCATTCCCACAGAGATACTGTTCAGAGGAGGTAGGCTCTGGGCAAATTCGATTGCATGTCACACAGTAGGCATTATTAGTTTGGTCAACCACACAGGTGGAGCTGCCTGGGCATAAAACATCTCTGCAGGTCTCTGAAATAAAGGTGGAAACACACAGTGATTAACAGGAGATTCCAGAGCCCCAGTGAGGAGTGAAATGAGAGACACACAATGAAACAAATGATCAGATAAAAGCCCTCAGCAGCTCTCCTCATGTAAGGGCCACTGGATGAAACCCTCCCACCTCAGGACACCTGGTGGGATGCAAGTGCTGCTAGTCTGCGGGCAACTCTCAATCCAGCTACATCCTTGTCTGCTGAGTGTGGTTTAGTTACTCTCCCAGCACTTGGAACATCATCTGGTTCCTGTGGGGAATTATGTCTAACAGCTCCTCCTCCCTATACTCTGACACATACCCTTTGGCATTTGAGGGAGATTGGATTAGATTTGCAAACCTACTTTTGCATTTGCCCTGATACTGGACTTCAAGTTCAGGCTGTTCTTTACATCTGGCTTTGAGAAGGGCACACTCGTTCTTGTAGGTTTTCCCATCTAAGCCACACACGGGGCCCAAGTGATATTAGAGCGATCCGGAGCACAAACACACCGAGGTTTGTTCTTCTTGTTCATTTTACATTTCTTCCCGGGTCCACAGTCCACGTTCTCACACGTTTCTGATGGAAGGAAAGAGGCACCACTTTAATACCGAGCGTTCAGAACAGACCTGGTGTCAAAACTGCTTAAAAAAAAAAAAGACACCGTGACCCCAGGGCATGAAGAGAAAACACCTTCTCTCCCTACACCCAGGAAACACCACTCGAGGGAAAACGCGCCCGCCAGTGAGGAGGGAAGA